AGGGCTTGTTAGATAATTTCTCTTCCTGAGTCGTTTGGAAAGTTATTTGGACTGTGAGATATGTGAAAGATTCAATGTCCTCTCTATTGCAGATAAAGCAAGTCACCATGAATCCAGTGAGGCAAAAAGGGAGCACTGATGATCATGGTATGCATAGCAGCACCATCCAAACAGATAAGATTGTCACATTGGACAAACAGGAGGGCAAATTTAGCAATGTACTAGCACTGGATAAAGTGATCCAAGTACTGTTTCTGCTCTGTTGTGTCTATTACTTTATTACCTAGGTGCTCCAAATAACACATGATTGACAATTTAGGGCGCTGAAGTCTCTGAATCAAGAAAGAGTGAGCCTTCTAATAATGATTACCATGAAGTCAACGAACAGAAGAACAAGGTTAATCTGATATGAACATGCAGTGTTTGTTGTTTTCCTGTTAAATAAGAGTGTATTTGCCTGAAATCTACAAATGACAGGATGAACATATGGGCTTGCAAAGCCTGGAAATGTTGAAGGTAAGAGCAAACCTTGAGGAAAGATTAAAGAAAAAAGGGCTCTATAATTTGACAAAGTCGAAGTCAGAGAAGTTGTCAAAAACCAGGACAACTAGTAATAAGTGAGTTATTAGCTATGTATTTCTTCTGTAGTTCTGTTACATAATAATGTTTTTGTTTCTTTGTGGTTTTAGTAATATTTATCTTTGATGTGTAGAAGAGGACTGCAGACATTGGATGACTTTGATGATGAAGTGCTGAAGAATAATCAAATGATGAAACCTAGCAAGCTTGTTGCAGCTGCTGCTAAATCAAATAAAAGCATGGTATGCTACACTGTTCAGTTACAGGCTGTTTGTTTTTGTTGTATTAGTTTATATCTAATTGTTTCCTGTGGTCCTAGGTTTTTGTAATGGGATAATATGTAAATTTCCCAAGCATCAATGGTCTTAGTCATCTTAGGTTGGAAATGATTTCATGTGGCTATATCTTGAACATTATAGTATCCAGGATATTTGTAGTTCCAAAGTAATTTGTATAGTGAGTTTGAAAGTGATGGCGAATTTCACATTCTGATTTCGGGTTCTTGTAAGTTTGTTTCAGTTTTAAGCATCTCACCTAAAAAAAGTATAAGAAAAAGGGTGTGTTTTCATGTGATGGTTTACTTTTGGGATACATCTAGGTTTTGGCCCCCTTCCCTCTGGAAACATGCCCTTAGTATGATATGTATATTTTGAAAAGGAGAAAAAGGAATTTCAATGAGCTGCATATATGCTCAGTATAAGCTATGATGTGTCTTGAGCTTTATTCGGAGTTACAAGCTTTTGGTTGTCTGATTGTGTCTGACCCCCTGTTTTCTATCTTCAAGTTTGTTTCTGGTGATGATGACCTTCCGAAGAGAGATAATATTGGAGAAAGACGGAGGAAGCACGAGCTTCGCGTTCTATCAAGAGTAGGAGCTAACTCAGTGGAAGATCATGAGTTGCCAGATGGTGACGCTTCTGAAGATGACCATGAGTTGCCAGAAGGTGGTGATGCTTCTCCAGATGGCTTCTATGAGGATGTTAAAAGACAGAGGATTGAAAAACTATCAATCAAGAATGCTCTGTACTCGAGGTAAGTTTCACTGATATACCAGGTAATAAATATGGGGTTTCTGGTGAAATGCTATACTGCTGCTTACTTTTTCCTGTATGACAGAACTCCGGCTGTTGAACCTCTGGAGGAAGAAACTGAAGGCGATGGCAAGAGGACGATTTCATATCAGGTTAATCTTTAGCTAATGCATCATGTAAAGTATATAGATTTTGATATCCTGTTACGTGCTTCTAAGTAAATCCAAACCCTTGCAGATCTTGAAGAACAGGGGGTTGACACGTTCCAGGAACAAGAAAAAGAAGAATCCACGAAAGAACTACAGGGTAAGTAACACAACATTATTGTATATAGGTGACTTGTGAGTCATTGAAACTGCTAGGGCGACAACACATTAGCTCAATTTTTTTTTACTCTTTTCAGGAGAAGCATAAAAACAAGCTTGTCAAGCGGAAAGGCCAAGTGCGCGATATCAAGAAGCCCTCTGGTCCATATGGAGGTGAAATGTCTGGCATCAACCCGAATGTCAGCCGCAGTGTTCGGTTCAAGAGTTGATGCCAGTAGTAGTATATCCAGGTTGGACATGAAAGGGTTGTTTCTGGTCGTAACTTGGCATTTTTTTTTGCATGTTATTAAAATGGTTTAATTCCTTAGTTTTTGTTTCGATATTAGATGAGTAAAATTTTGCCTGCGAGAAATACACCACTGCCTGTGTGCCTGTGTCTGAAAACGTGCTTATGCTGAAACTAAGTATAATTATTAGAGGTTTGTTAGTGCTTGGGAAGAACCAGTGGTTCCTCCCTGTGAATTTTTTTCGTTAATTAAAAGTAATTAGGTCATTCGAGTGTATTCTAAGTTGCCCCGACGTCTTCTTTCTTTCTCCCTCTCCTGGACGAACTGAGAGCCGCATGGATATGGGGAAGGGCTCGCCTTCGCCTAAAAGGCTCACAGGGGATCACCACCGGTTATCTGGAGGAGCTCGCCACCGACGACTGTTCTTACGAGCCACCATTTGGGATCACTGCCGGCCACCTTCGCGAGCTCTGCACCAACCATCTCTGCTGGGGCTTGGCAGTCTGCAGGTCATCCGCTTGGCCAGGAGGAGCTCGGTAGCCTGCCCTCCTCCCATCGCCGATCTGCTGCTGCTTCCGATCTATTACCTGCCTGCACTTATTTGGCCTCCACGGTTCATACATTTGCGGCTAAGTGTAACAAATCAACAAATTAACAGATTGATTTTTTTTTGCTGAACTTTGTACTCCTTTGTAACTGAGAAAGCAATTGTGTTACCTGTGCCCGTGCTCGTCGGGGCCGGCCCCTCAGCCGGAGATGGGGTTGCTGCGCCTGCATCCTCCCCTCCCCTTCCTCTTACTCTACCACCCTCAGCTCCTTTGGCATGCCCGTGTCCCATCACCACCGGGGGAGCCACGTTATGGCCATAGAGGGCTCCACCCCCTCCCTTGCCACGCAAAAAAGAAATAAAGATCTATGCTGCTGTGCAGCGTATCTGTGTTGTTGTGCAAGTTTGGATGGCTAGGCTAGCTAATTAAGCCCACAAGGCATAGGCGATGGGCCACCGGACACATGCAAGTCAGCCCATTATGCACGCAGGAGCCACATGACTGGTGGTACCTGTGACCTAGCATTGCTCAACATGCAAAGCAAAGGGGAAGAAAATAATCCACATCCACCGAGTGGTCAAGACGGCCGGTGGAGGCTCATAGACGACGATAAGACGACGAGCCGGAAGCCAGAGGCCGGAGCTGTCGATGCCTCGCGGCGGCCTTCCCAGTTGACTCGCCGACTCATCATCGGCCCCGGCCGATGGGCGGCGGCGCCCCCACGTCCACACTCATTCGGCTCTGTTTCATAGACCATTGAGTTTAGAATCAAAACTTATTTCTATGGAACTTTTCTATATATTGTCTCGGATTTGACAAATGACCCCCCTATATTAGGCTTCACGCTCCGCCACCGCTCATCACCGCTGCCACCACAGCCACGGCCACGGCCACGCCAAGACCCAACGGTGCCACCATGCCTCTCTAACTGAGCCCTGGCCTGCGGCCAAACCGACGAGGTAGCGGCCAGCGGCCAGCGTTTGCGTCCGCACATAAGCTCGTGGGTGGCAAGCCAATGCAGTCCGACATGGCCGGCGTGTACCGCCGGGAAGACAGCTTTTCCGATCCATGGCCAGCTAATTCACGCAGAAGTACCATTCTACCCTTCACAATTTAATTGGAGCTGGTTTCGAGTTCACTAGATTTTGGTTCTGGCCCACATCTTAAGTTCCTCTCTGAGCAGGTTCCTTCTATTTTTTAACCATCAGATTTAGCCAAACGGATGGTTCTCATTATTTCCGAGCATCGTAAAATTTCTCTAATTACTAAGGGAAATTCCTTTATTATTTTTGAATCATATATAGAAGTACTCATTGTCAAATCTTTTTTAAGATAAAGGTCCTTATTGTAAGATAAGTTATTTTGTTTGTTACACACAGGGAGCTAGTAGCATGACAGTATATATATTATATACGCACATGGTCATCGTCAAGGTGCCATAATTATTCCAACCGAGTACGTGATCGTAACGACTAACGAGTAGTGTATCGTAACATGCAAGGAGTGTGTAGAACAGGTAGGGGATGAAAACGGTACAGAAATATCCCGTACCGAACCGTATCGCTTTCTACGTTTAATCCGATCGAATTCGTATTTTCGGACAAATTCGAATTCGGTTCAAAATTCGAACACCAAATTCGAAATCGGAACGAAAACGGTTTAGACATTTTCCAACCGTTTTCTACTTTTAATTCAGAATATCCTGAATTCAAAATTCGGTTTAAACCAAATTTGGCCCACTAGAAGTCTAACCTTAGAAAAATTGTATCTTTTTCATACGATCTCGGATGAAGATGATTTTATATGAAAATTGTAGCTCTCGACGAGAATTACAACTTTCTAGTTTTTAGTTTTTTCATTTGAGGTCCTTAAGATGTTCAAAAAATTTAAACAAAGCTTCAACACTATATTAAATTGCGTACAAGCACTTGTTGCCGAGAAAAATCATATCTTCCTTACATGGTGTCGAATGGAGATACTTTTTAAAAAAGTTATAGGACTTTTTAATTATTATTCACTTGTTAACTGTTATGCACTTGGTCCAACAGGTCAATATTCCGTATTGATTTTTCGTATACCGACCGTGTTCGACATAATTCCGCTCAAATTAGTTTGTTTTTGAAATTCTCGATATTCCGTAAGTTCGTGTTTGTTTTCGTGTCCGGCTTTACCGCTTTCGTTTTCGTTTTCGTATTTAAATATAAAAGTAGAAAACGGTTGAGAGGTTTTCCGACCGTTTCCGTCCCTAAGAACAGGCACTACACCGCGGATGGCTGGTCCGGCCGGTGATCACACGAGGCGGCGGCAGATGGTGACGCCGTCGGCGATGGTGAGCTGGCACACGTCCACACGCTCGTCGGCGACGAGCATGGTGTTGAGGTCTCGCATAACAGCCGAGGTGCGGCGGTCAAAGTCTGACAGGGGCGCGTCGGGCGGCAGCGCCACCATGCCCACCCACAGCTTGTCGTCGTACACGATGACGCCGCTGACCCGCACCAGGCGGAGCAGCTGCTCGTGGTACCGCATGTAGTTGGGCTTGTTGCCGTCGACGAAGGCGAAGTCGAAGGCGCCGTGGTTGCCCTCGTCGGCCAGCAGCGCGTCCAGGTGCTCCAGCGCGGGGCCCTCGCAGAAGTCGACCTTGCCCGCGACGCTGGCGCGCTCGATGAAGGGGCGGCCGATGTCGTAGTACTCGCGGCTCACGTCGACGGCAATGACCTTCCCGTCGTCGGGATGTTAGAAACAATAGGCAATATAAACGACGAAGAACAGCTGATCAAACACGGGAGACACGAGATTTTAACGTAGAAAATCCTCCTAAGAAAGAAGGGAAAAACCACGGGAGGTTACAAACGTCGGTGATTTATAACTTTTCTTATCCCAAGACGACGGCTTACAGGAAGTATATATAGAGATGGAAAAACACTAATAAACGATGATCCGTACCACGGGTGCAGTAGGGAAACATGATGGACTAACTTCAGACTCCGCTTTGCTTTGGCCCAAGCCTTCCGGCGATAGCCTCGCTTCGCTCCGTCCACAATTAGCATTTATCTCGAACATAACTGTATTTGATCGTAACTCAACGGGGAGCGCCAGCGCCGTGACCAGCCCGTGAACACGCCGACCTCGAGGGTGCGGCGCGCGCCGGTGAGCTTGATCAGCATCTGCAGCAGCCGCGCCTCGTCCGGGGAGGACTGCATGAAAAACCGCTCGTGCTTGTCGGTAACGAGGCGCAGGTCGCGCTTGCAGTCCAGCTCGCGCGGCAGCACCGACGTGTCGATGACGTACTGCATGCGCGTGCAGTGCATAGTGATTAGTTAAGGCGATCCACAACGAGTAGCTAGCTGGTTATTATTATTCTATTTTAGCAGGCTCAGGCTGTATGTTAGTGCGTGTTTAGTTGGTCGAAATTTGAGAATTTGGCTACCGTAGTATTTTCGTTTTTATTTGACAATTAGTGTTTAATTATGGACTAATTAGGCTCAAAACGTTCGTCTCGCGATTTTCCACCAAACTGTGTAATTAGTTTTTTTTCGTCTATATTTAATGCTCTATGTACGTATTGCTAGATTCGATGTGATGACTACTATAGTATTTTTTAGAAAAACTTTTTAGAACTAAACGTGGCCTTACATTGAGAATCGTCTTGCTGGTTTCGCTCCTGGCCGCCGCCATCTCTCTGGGTCCAGTTTAGTTGTAAAAAATTTTGCAAAATTTTTCAAGGTTTCCGTCACATCGAATCTTTGGACACATGTATGAAGTATTAAATATAAATAAAAAATAAAACTAATTACACAGTTTAGACGAAATCCACGAGACGAATCTTTTAAGCCTAATTAGACTATGATTGGACATTAATTACCAAACAACAACGAAAACTACTACAGTGCCATTTTACCAAAAATTTTGGCATCTAAACAAGGCCCTGGTTCGTTCGCTTGCAGGTGGGTGACACGTAGCCTAGCAGCTCACAGTCACTGAGTCACAGCTGGTGACCCCCAGCTCGAACCGACCTTGCAAACCACGTTTTTATAGTACGTAGCTGACAGAGGAGATTCCGTTTCTTGGTTTGCAAGAAGCCGACCGTCAATCCGCCTCGTTGAATGGTTTAGATTAGTCCTTGCCCTGCTCAAGAATTCGTCGCATCGCGTCAGCCATGAATGTGGTAGTCAAGAGAGTATACGAGCAGGCACAGTGGATCAACTGACTTTTACCTGTTCGTTTGGGTTTGTTTGACTTATAAGCCATGGCTGAAAGTACTGTTGCCTAATTTGGTGTGAGAGAAAAATATTATTCGTTAGCTGATAAGTCATGGTTTATAAACCAAATACGATCGAGCGAACATGCTGTTTGTGTGGCGGATTTTGAGAGTGAAATCACCGATGACAAATGCATGGTGGCCGGCCGGTCGTGGCCGTGGTCGTGGCGGCTTGCTCTCTGCTTGGGTGTCAAAAGATGACGCAGCAGAGGGAAAGCGTGGAAGAAAGGAAGACCAATGATCCAAGGACAGGGTCGTCGTCGTTGGTCGTCTCAGCTTGTTGTTGTCGTCTGTGAAGGTTTCCAGGGTTGATGGCCAGGGGCGATCTCCACTACGGTGTCGTCATTGTACTGCTGTTTCCATTCCGAGGCACACCCGTCCGCCGGCCCCCTGTGCCCCTGTCCACCGGCCCGCTAGCACGCCGCGTGCCCCGTCCGCCGTCTCCGGGTCATCCCAAGGCGAACAACGTAAAACATTTGCAACCTGAATACAACGTAATACTGAAAATAGATGAAACATTTGGAAACATACTTTTACAACATGTGTGTGAAATACATAAAATATCCAAAATAAAAACACTTTGTAACTTGCTGCTACTTAAGACTGAAACAATAGAAACATTTGGAAACATACTGTTGCAACATATGCAACATCCAGATTAAAAAATGATTGTAACATGTCTGGAAATAGATGAAACATTTTGAACAAACTCTTACAATATGCCTCTGAAAACACTCGCAACATATGTAACATCCATCGATCTACTTTTACAACGAGATGAAACAATTACAACGTACATTTGAAACACTTAACATACATATGCAACGTAGGAGAGTGGAAGGCCGGGCTAGTCGATTTCGGCCATCGAGGTCGGAGCCGGCAACGAGCACCACTAGCACCGCCCGAGCTCCTGGGTGCCCTTGGCTTGGCCGAAGAAAACGTGAGACACCATGACACATGTGCCCCAACAGCCATAGCGAGGTCAGCGGCGTGCGTGACGGCGATGGGAGACGGACGGACGGACATACGGCAAGGGAGCGAGCGACACAGGTGTGTGAGACGTGCGTGCAGTGCGACCGATGATGGGGCGCGATGCGGTGGGGCACGGTGCGGCAAAGGATGAGCGCGTGGCGCGGCTGGCGATGTGGTGCGGGGTGGTGGGGCACGGCGCGGCAGCGAACGAGCGCGCGGTGAGAGAAGGGGTGCGGACAATGAGTGGTCACGCTGCTTCGGGGCCTGACGGATAAGCATGAAGGAGTTGGGGGCGAACCGGCAGATAAGCATGAGAGAGTGGGAGATTTTTTATTTTTTTTATTTAGGGCCACTTCTAGAGAGCCACGTTCGAACAGGAGTCATGGGCGAACGTCCAAGTTAGACTATTTTCCTTTATTTTGAAACCGATGGAAACCTCTTACGCAAAAATTTTGCTTCCTTGCGTCTGCAGGAAGCCGACCATCAATCCGTACGTCGCATCCGATCGTTTTGTGTGGCGGATTTTGAGAGTGAAATGGCCGAGAAATGCATGGTGCCCGGTCGCTGCAGCCAGCAGCTAGGGATTGAGAGAGGGAAAGCGCGGAAAGGAGTGGAGGACCAATAATGCAATGCAATTATGCAAGTGCAACAACAGGATCGATTTTGCTGCGACGCGCGCGCGTCGCACCAACTGTGGAATTTTAAAATCTAGATTCTAGATAAAAATAATCTCTGATGTTTCTTCAATTTTGAGTAAATGTGTTAAAATTCCGTAGAATCCTACTCTGTTTAGATGGGATTCTAGGATTCTGAGTTTTTTTTTATCCGGACTCTTTAAATTCCTTGGTAACCAAACGGCACCTTTAAGTCTGTGGATGGACTGACTTTGTGTAGCGAACCCGGTCAATGCATGGACGTGCTCGCCGGACACTCCGGCTGGCTCCGTTCAGTCCAACGAGCCATTCAACTGATTTCTGCTATCCCGATCATGCAACTTTTTGGCTTCTTGCATATTGCCGGACAAATTAATTAAATCATACAGTTTTATCAGAAACCCAGGGAGCAAAATGGGAATCACTGCAGAAACTCATGGTTCAAACTCAATAGAAAATTACAAAGGGGAAACACGGATGGAAGAGGATCAAAAGTTCAAACGACCAGGAAAGAAAAAGAATACTGGAACAGGTGCCCAAGCATTTATACCAACTTATGATGGAGTAGTAAAGCAAATGACGTACGTGTAATCCTCCCTTAATCATGGTGTGGTGATTGAGTTGACAATAGACATTATTGGTAGGCATCCTAGAGTGAATTTCTTATTTTAAATTTTAAATACTTTGATAACTTATATTTCAGGACGGGGGAGGGCATCACAAAGCTAATCAGTACATATCACCCTTATCCATCTTCTTGATCTTACAGGAAATACGAAAAGAAGAGAGCTGAAATTCCTCCGGCCTTTCATGAATGCAATTCTCTGCTGTGGCGTGCGGGAGGCGCTTTTTTTTGGATATAAATAAATAAGCCAAACCAGGTACACATATATAGGACTGAAAGTCGCACTCTCCATGTCCATGAATGCAATTCTCACGCCCTACTTCTTTCTATCCACCCTGTGAACAACCAACCAGGAACACCAACAGCAGTGGTTTCAATCACTTGCATTGCTCGTCATAGAGCAGTGACTATGATGGTTGCTGTATTCTTCCTCCTACCACTAGTCCAAGTGCAATAGTCACTTGGGTTTGGCATAAAGAACGCCACGACCACAAATCACTCCCCATTCCGATGGCTTGCACAAGAGGCTGCGGTGCTCCTCAAGATGAAGCTGTCCTTATCCTCGGTCGACTATGGTGAGCTACCGAAGCCGCTACCATCTTGGCAAGTCGGCACAGACTGCTGCCACAATTGGATGGGAGTCACTTGCGACCATGCTGGAAGAGCCATTGCCCTCAATTTATCTTTCCGCCTTGTTGGATTTCTTGCCAATGTCCCTATGGACATATCACGCCTCAACAATTTGGTGTCTCTGGATTTGTCTGGCCACTCGTCGTTGATGCTCCCAGAACCGAGTTTTCAGACCATCACCGCAAACCTTAGCAACCTGAAAGAGCTCCATCTTGATGGGGTGCTCATCTCTAGCACAGCAGCAGAGTGCTCCAAAGCTCTGGCCAAGTCTGTTTCCCAGCTTCAGATTCTTACCATGTCCATTTGTGGGCTGTCTGGTCCCATTGACAGTGCTTTATCAGGTCTTGGCTCCCTAACTGTGATTGACTTCAGGGGCAACAATATAACTTTCCCTGATTTCTTTGCTCACTTCCCCTTATTACGAGTCCTGTCGCTTGATGAAAACCATCTCAGCACATTCCCTCTGGGGATCCTCCAACTCAGATATCTTGAGATTCTGAGTCTCTCAGATACAAACCTATCTGGATACATCCCTTATGATATCGGTAATCTTACATCTTTGACACAGCTGTACCTCGGTTATGGTAACATATTCTCGGGAAGACTGCCTGCTACAGTAAGCAACCTGACATCCCTGAGGACATTAGACTGAAATTCCTGTGGTTTGTCTGGAGAAATAAATGTTATTGCAAACCTAACTCAGTTGGAATCTATAGACCTCTCGTGCAATAATTTTACCGGTAAGATCCCTTGAATAAATCATGTTCTTCCTTCCCAAGCACCGTAAAATTTTCTCTTGTATTAACCGGCAAACATGTATTTTTTTTTCTGGTGCCTTGTGCAGGACCAATTCATTTTGGTGACAAAGTAAAACTCATCAATCTGGAGTTCCTGGATCTGAGCTACAATTTACTCACTCAAACAATCCCTGGATGCTTGTTCACATATCCAGCATTGAAAGCACTAGACCTCAGAAGGAACCAATTTTCTGGAGTTCTGGAAGAAATTCTCAGTCCATCACGGACGCTGACCTGTGTAAACCTAAGTGGCAACCATTTGAGCGGACCAGTTCCCAGATCATTTGCTCGTTTCATGGCTCTCGAAATCCTGAATATTGACTACAACAACTTCTCTGGTACCTTGCACCTGTCTTCCTATTTTAGGCTAAGGAACCTCACATTGTTGTCAGCCTCCAACAATAAGTTACTCTCTGCAGCCTGGAATGCATCAGGTGTGGATATCAGTAGCTCCAACAACATCAGTGCCTCATCCTCATGGTTATATATGGTTACCTCGCTGTCGCTGGTACTATCATCCTGCAATGTAACCATATTGCCCTTCACAGTGTAGCAAATACCTCAACTAGACACGCTAGACCTCTTATGCAATCACATTCAAGGGGAGATTCCTAGTTGGATATGGAAAAAGGTGGACAGCCTGAATCTCTCACATAACATGTTCACAGAAATTGCACAGCCCCCGGCAAGCGCCGTACTCTCTAGTATCGATCTAAGTTACAACATGCTTAGTGGAGCTGTCCCTCTCCCTTCTACAGGCACCATCCAGGATTACTCACACAATAAGTTCACCTCCATCCCTTCTAGGGCTTTCGGTCGGCAGTTTAGGTTTGCTTACTCCATCAACCTAGCTAACAATGAGATAGCCGGGCCTGTACCTCATGCAAAAATGCCATCGTGGTGATAACCTTCGCATACTTGACTTGTCCAACAACAATTTCAGTGGTCTACTCCCAACCTATCTTTTTAACTGCAACAGCTTGGCAGTACTAAGGCTCAGAGAAAATAACCTTACTGGGGCATGGCCAGATAGTATTAAGAAGGGATGCACCTTACGATTAATCGATATGCACGGTAATCAGATAAGAGGGCGAATGCCAAGATCCCTGACCAACTGCCAAGGATTAGAGTTCCTTGATGTTGGTAAAAACTCCATTGTTGATTCTTTTCCCTTTTGGCTGGGAGAGCTACATGACCTTTTCGTACTAGTCCTAAGAACAAATCTATTGCATGGTACATTTCTTAATCTGAAGGAGAAGGAGAACTTGACTACCAACCATTTTCAGAATCTGCAAATCATTGATCTTGAACAGAACAACTTTGATGGGGCTTTGCCTGAGAATCTGTTTAAGAAATCGAGGCCGATGACCAATCCCACAATAATAGGTGACTCCACATTAGCTGCTGACATACCAAGGACAGAGTTGGTTTACCAAGTTATGGTTGAAATTGCAATGAAAGAGGTGTACATCAACGTGCCTAAGGTCCTGCTCGACTTGGTGGTAATTGACCTATCAGAAAACCGATTCAGTGGCCTCATCCCTGAGAAATATGGCAACCTGACGGCACTGCATGTGCTCAACATGTCGCATAATGCCCTGACTGGAGAGATCCCACATGAACTCAGCCACCTCACTCGCCTTGAGTCGCTCGATCTGTCATGGAACATGCTCTCCGGGGAAATTCCACCAGAGCTGGCGATCTCTTTGACATCCCTTGAGTGGTTAAACCTATCATACAACAATCTGAGCAGGAGGATACCATCAGGTCCGCAATTCTCGACTTTTCCAAGTAGCACTTTTCAGGGCAACAAAAGACTGTATGGCTGTCCGCTCCCTGTGCAATGCAACCTGATGACAGGTCCACCGCCATCGAAGGCTCCAGCAACGACATCGGTGCCTCCTTCCTCGGTGTCCAAATCCAAGAGTGACAAGTTTGAGGTCATCGTGCTGTTTCTTTTCATTGGGTCAGGGGTTGGTGTGGGCTTTGCAGCGACCATTGTTGTACTGAGGCAGATCTCTAACCAGGGTAGATGGTGGCACAAAAGTAACTTCTCATATCTGCAGTGAAATGGTATATATCTGGTCAGATGTGTTGCGTAACAGGTGTGTATGTGTATTGATGTACTACTAGGGTACTGTACTTGAGACTCGGCTGATTACTGTGGTGTGATTTGTTTTTATCATGTACTACTGGTTCTCATCTTCATGTTGAGTTGGAAGAATTAATAAAATCACACCTTCAGCTTCAGGGATGCATCTTAATCTTTTCATATCAGAACATATGCGTAAGTTTTTGCCTGACATTGTTCTTTTCTCTCTATAGCATCAAAGTCGCAGATACCAGTAGTTAAAACATCCAATGGTGACAGCACAGCATGGGCGGTTAAAATGGTCATATAACATCATATGGAATCATGGGACACAGTATGAATAAACAAAGCACGTCTTATTTGGAATCCCCAACAGTTTTTGAACATAAGTGTAGCACCCCAATTATTTACTTAACTGGAGGCTACCAAACAACTCCTAACAAACTGGCAAGACAGGGAATCATTGAAAATTTCAACAGAGTTTCCCCTGTAAACTGGAGAGCTGAAACAAGCATTGCATACGATAAAACAAAATATCAACAGATATAAGTAGGAAACAAAGCATCACAACCTATCCCAGCAACAAAAAAAAAACGTCCACAACACCATCTAAAAATAAAACAAGGTGAAAGCAACTAAAATTAAGTTCATACAATGTAAATTCTAGTTTAGTGAACTACACATCTGAAGGTTAAACAAGTGTGTGATCAAGATGAAGATGCTACTCCCACTTTCCATACATGTCGCTATCATTTGATACCTAAAAATCAAATAAACAAGACTCGGCAAGTACAATCAAAACCGGAAGAATAAATGCAACACATGGATATATGAACAAAGGTTAATCCAATTGTCAATGAAGCAGTAGTTTCCTAAGCATTTACCGGTAAAGGCGAGCAAGTGGGGGCCAACACTTACTCATAGGAACATTAATATGAGAACCAAATTGCACATTGGGATCCACCCAAACATGAATGGAGTATAAAGGAAATTTGAAACAGTAACTTGAATATAAAAAACAAACTGCATACCCGGATCCACCGGAGCATGAATTGAACATAAAGGCACACTTGAAGCATGAATCACATGGAACACGAACATAGCACAGATGGCACTAGGACCAATTCTTGATCTAACCATGTCGAAAAAAGATGAACAGATTTCTGGGTACCTTTCCTATTACTGGACAGTGGCACCGTTTCAAGCATCTCTTACTCCCTTTATCGGATTCGATTAAAATCAGCGCCATTGGAAAGATAGAAAAGAGGCTACAACTTTTGTTTCAGGGAGAAGTAGAAATTCTTCACCAATAATTCTAGAAATTGGTCAAATAAATCAACTTAATTCACGTGTACTCTAAAATCGATCTAGTTATTCTCCAATCAACTCTATTCGGAAATTTATGCATCTGGAAACAAATTAGTGATTACCTTAAGCAAAGATCAGAAATTTGTCAAGTAAATTTGGTGAATTTTGCAATGCACTACACCTTTCCCCTCCTCTGTTCTCTTCCCTTCGCCCAGTTAATCAACCGCACGTGGCAGGACACCTTCGGGCAGTGCGATGCGTTGTCTCCTTTCCCTGATCAGGAGCTTGAAGGTCACAGGAGGGAGGCGATAGAGGGGAAAGAAGCGGAGGCAATGGAGGACAAAGGAGTTGCTGCGGCTGGAAGTTATAGATGGCCAACGGGCCGGCCCGGGCCGGCCCGGCACAGGCCCGTGCCAGCCCGGCCCGATAGCCAACGGGCCGGCACGGCACGCCGTGCCTCACAGGGCCACGGGCCTGGCCTCCGACCCAGGCACGGCACTATGGGCCGATTTCTGTGCCGGGCCGGTCCGCGAGGCACAACCAATTTCACAGGCCGTGCCAGGCCGAGGCCCAACGCTGCCGAGAGAGAGAGGGGAAGGGGCCCAACACGCCGCTCGCCGCCCGCCCTCGATCCGCCGTCGAGGACGCCACCATCCTAGATCCGCCGCGGAGGCCGAGCACGCCCTGGATCCGCCGCCAGGGGATGCCACCACCCTTGATCCGCTGCCGGAGGACGGTCATGCCCTGCATCCGCCACCGGTGAGCACGCCCACCCTGGATCCGCCGCCGAGGAGCGCCACACGCCTCCTCGCGCATGGATCTCGTCGTCCTCCGCCTCCTCGCGCCGGATCCGGATCTCGTCGGGGCTGCGAGCTCGGTGGATGTGCCGCCTGCTCCTGGCCGCACCGCCGCCCCTCGAGAACCGCTCGTCGCCGCTCCTGGAGGACCGCGCGCCGCCGCTCTAGGGCCATGTGCCGTTGCCGCCATGGAAGAGAAGGGAGCCGAGTGGACCAGAGGAGGGAGAGGGAGGGATGGAGGCGAGCGCACCAGAGAAGGGAGAGGGAGGGTGGCCAGCACACGGCGAGGGAGAGGGAAGGAGGGAGGGAGGCCAGCGCACGGAGGGAGATGGCTGCGCGCGGGAGGGAGACGGCCGCACGCGAGGGAGACGCCGCCACGCGGGGAAGAGGCGAGAGGCGAGAGGGAGCGTCGGAGCGGGTAGGATTTAGGGTTCGAGGTAAGGGAGTGAGGGTGAGGCGGGGGGAGGCGCCGCGGGGGTGAGGCGACAGGCGAGAGGGAGCCGGGCTGATTGGCTGAATGTCGCCCTGCCCTGGCCTGGGGGCGCGGCCGCGCGGGGTTGGCAGGGCGGGCCGCTAGCGGGCCGGCTGCTCTGTAGCAGGCCGTGCCGTGCCGGCCCATGTGCCTAGGGTAAGGCCCAGGCACGGCCTGCTGCTCCGGGCCGAGCCAGCCCGGGCCCGCTAGCCTCCGTGCCGGGCCGTGCTTGGGCCGGGCCAAAAAAACGGGCATTGGGCCGGGCCGATGGGCTCGGGCTGCATGGCCAAATATACTGGAAGTGAACAGGAGTCCGGATAACAGGGGATATCTATTTTCTCGTTTGGATAATAATGCTTCCTCACGGGCGTCCGCACCCATCCCGACGCCGTGCGACTCACTCCGCTGACGCCGTGGTCATCCCCGTCTCACTCCGCCATCCCCGCACGCGCACCCATCATGCACCGTGCAGCGCCGCCCCACGCCCACTCCGCCTCTGCGCAGCCATTCACCTGCTGTCCATCCACTCGGCCTCCGCACGCCCTACTCCGCTTGTGCGGCCATCCACCGCTGCACACCCAATCCATACTCACCCGTCGCAGCTACGGCATGCACCGCTACCACCACCCCGGCGCCACCGGGAGAAGGTCTTCGCCGGCCGGGACATCTGTCTCTCGCAGTCGGCTGAAGACACCGCAGCAGGCAGGATCCATACGTTGTAAATGCATAAGTGTTTCAACTGTTTGAGAAATATCTTGCAATTGTTTTCATTTTGATGTTGTAAAAATAGATCGGAGATGTTACACATGTTGCATATGTTGTAAGTGTTTCTGAGGCATGTTGTAAGCTTTTGTTCAAAATGTTTCACCTATTTCTAGATGTATAATGTTTCACCTATTTCTAGATGTATATTTTAGATGTATGTTGCAATCGTTCTGATCTGAATCTTTCATATGCTTCACATAAATGTTGCAATAATATATTTCTAATGTTTTCGCTGTTTCAGTTTTATGTTGCAGCATGTTGTTTCATATTGCAAGTTATAAGTGTTTTATTCGAGGGTTTTATGTTGTTCTGCCGGGGCGAGTCGGGGCGGCAGACGGGGGCAAGCGGCTCGCGGGGCGCTAGGGCTCGGCGGACGGGGGTGCCATTTCCTTAACGTTTGGCACGGGTTGAATTGCACGCGTCACAAATTTTTGTGCCACCGAAGTGGCCAAAACTTCGCCCTTTTAGACATTTTAACTGCGTGGCACGCCATTTAGCCTTCCAGCGTGGCAGGAGCATGCAAAAAGACATCGTTCCCTTGTCTTATATCTTAAGCACGCTGGGCTCACTCTTCGTTTGGCGCCGCCGCCATTCTTCTTCTTCTCCACCCGTTCTTTCGCGGCGGAGGTACGGCGTGAGGAGATCTGGCGGCACGGCCCGTGAGGCGAAAATAAGCCCGCGGAGCTTCGGCAAGACCCTACCGCACTGTGGCGGGACGGTGGGCGGCAGCAGCACGTCGAGAGGAGGAAGAAAGTGTGAAGAAAAAAATCGAGTGCTTGCGGCTGGTAAAACACACGAGTGTTGTATAGACGGATTCAAATTTTAAAAAGATTACTCCTCGTAAATTAAGATGTGCATTTATTTACGGACTAAGGGAGTTGAAGATTAAGTAGATCCTTATTGTTTTTTTTCCTTCTTGTTGTGATGATGACCGAAAGGAAATAATAGGCCCTGTGTTTCAAGCTCAGAACAAAGTTTTGAGAAAACCATTCCCAAGAGACAAACTTGTAGCTTCTTGGCTACAAAGAACAACAGCGACTCAAGAAAGTGTGCTCAACAGAACAACAGAGCGAGATAAAGAAAATGTCTATGCAGCTGTCAAAGCAAACATATGTGATGCCTCCATCGGGGGCTCCGGAACGAAGAGAAGTGGCCACAATACATACATACATACAGATACAGACATCAAAGATCCTCACGTACGTGCGCGCTCTGATAATCAGTCGACGCACCTCTAGACTGGTTGTGGTTGGCATCGACCCGGCTGAGGCTGAGGCGGTGAGGTGGGCCTGACCCTGATGCAAATATCCATCCCGTCCACTTTGGCTTGGCCCAGCCAGCGTCAGTCCAGTCGAGAGAGCTCTGGAACACAACACTGCACCGTACCACTCTCCAGAAACCACCACGTCCTTCTCGTCTTCCTCCCCTCCCTCGTGACCTCACCTCACCTGACCTGACCTTAATTTAAGCACGCGCCACCGCCACCATTCTCCTGCACTGACCACCGTCTCACCTCATCCCTGCTTTCTGTTTCGCTCATCATCATCATCATCAGCTACTCCGGCCGACTCGGGAGGGAGCGAGGCAACGAACACCAACAGCGATGCAGCACGCCGCGGCGGTCTCCAACAACCT